GGGGGGGGGGGGGGGGGGTGGAGGTAGGAGAGGATCATTCACTTATTGCAACTCAAATGAATCACATTATAAATCTCCCCAGAAAAAATTGAAATGAACTTCCCAATACTTCTCTGTTCCACCACTCCATTACCACTATTCATGATGTCAGAGAAGTGTGTTTTTCTGATAGCCATCTGAAGAATAGAAATCCATTCCATGGTATCTCAGGTATCCATCCATCTCATAACCAGCCATAGCCCAGCACCCATGTGAGCCCTCTAACAGGTATCTCGAAACTATTGTGAAAAAAGAGGCTGATCCTATCCATTTCCAAGTCGCAACCGTATGATCCGCATAAGAACTGAAGAGATGAAAGTGGAATGAACTCCTGCTAAGAAATCCTGTGAGAGACAGTAGCTCTTAGTTAATCAATGACAGCCCAACTACAATGTTACTATTCAAGTAAATCACCTCTGGTAGTGTAGGGGTACGACTTTTCCAGATGGTTATATAGAGAGATGTTACAAAGCCAGGAAAAAGTTGGCACACTTGCAAAAATCACTGGAAGGGCAATGAGTTTACATTGCTCCCTTCCAAGTAGAATATAATAAGATGGACATTCACTGACAGAAGGGTTTTTTCTAATTTGCCCTTTACATTTCCTCAAATGTTTCTGCTCTCACTTAAAAAGGTACAGTTAAAGAAGAGATCAAAAGCGCAATGTGAAAAATTACTTAGTAGTCCATCTTAGGGCAACTGGAGTGGGGATCAAGGAAATTATTCAGATCTACTGTGACCTACTGGACAAGGATGAAGACTGGCTAGTGATTAAGTTCTATTGCCAGTTGGCTAGTACTAATGGCCAGCAACACAATCACTGTCTATGAATATCAAACATCTTATTGGACACTAAGGGGTATATGGGAAGAGACATGACCCATCAAAAAAAGACAAGACTTGTCAAATCATAAAACATTTATGGAAACCTCCTCAGCAGTAGTAGTGAAGGAAGTAAACATTAAAGTGCTTCAGATGTTCAAAGTCAAAGGATGAAGAAAAGTGGGAAAAGTAAAAATATAAATTTATAAAAAGGAATGCTCATTGTGGCCAATGAGAAAGAAATGAAAAACTCACAAGAAGGAATCCAATGCTGAGACTGTGAAAAGTGTTAAATTCAAAGACTTTAGAAATAACAAGTGAAGAAGGTTATATAGCTCTTGCTCAAGAATCCATCTGCTAAGGATATCCCATATGGAAAGATCATATAAAATGGTAGTTATATGCAATTATCTTTACCTTATAATTTCATATATTTATTATGTATTGAAATAAGCATGCACATGTATGCAGGCATATATGGTTGGAGAATATAATTCATGTAAGGATTATTCATATATTAAACATACTAGGGCAGCATATATGTTCTGTATAAAAGAATTATACAATTTGAGGGATGGACTCCTACATATATGATACACCTAGTTTAACCTTTTGACTGCTGGGTTTTTATGGGCCTGTAATACCCCCTGTGCTGGGTTTTCCCCCAAAAAATGGAAATTTCAATTGTTCTTGATATTTACTTAAATGTGGAGCCATAATGAGTGATACATGATGATATGATGTCCATTTAAGTTGTTAAATACCTGACCTTTAAAATGGTATTTAAAATCTAAATCCCCTGCTGGGCCATCGGGACTGACGCCATATGGCGTCAGTAGCAGTCAAAAGGTTAAGTATATGGTTTTTATGAAGAACTTTCATATATTGTGAATACACACTCAGCATGCAAGCTTTCATTTAAAAAATATGTATTGTTGAAAATGTATATTGTACCATATGCATATGGGATATATCATTTAGATGGTATGGCCATATGGTTTGAAAAACAATTACTTTGTGGCCTTTTCATATAAAATTTACAAGTACTACATGCTTCATGTAGGAAAGGTTTTGCTGCTCTTTTTAATGCTGGTTATAATGCTACATAATGGCTTGCATGCAATTCCTTATGAAGTAAGCCATACATTACTTAATTACTTCTACCATGTTTTGAAAGGTTGTATATGTTAATACACTGTATATTTATGGAACTGTAGGACTTGAAAACAAGTATGACATATTTTGAGGCTTTAAGCTTCTACACAATCAGGTGATTCTCATGATTCCCATTATGAAGTACACATTAAACCAATTCTGAGTGGCAGGGATGTGAAGAAACTTATGATTTTACTTTCTTTTTCTTTTTTCCTGATTGGAAGTACTAAATGACAGATTGATTGATGGTACAATGTGAAATTGATATGGACATATTTGTTCACTTATTCCAATATGTTTCACTTTCAGCACATTATTGAATGGTTTTGTATTTTCACAGAAGAAACAAATGAAGTGCCAATCCTAAGTCCTTGCCTTAGTTCCAGAAGTCATTTTTGACATTTGGGAGAGGCTTGCAAGAGTGTCATGATTTCATGTACCTTTCACACCTGATTTAGTCATGTATCTTATCAGGTGTGACATATATGCCTAACCATATACTAGATAAATATATTAAATCACACAAGTTTCTTATCTCCCCCACCATATCTTTTACACACATGCTTTTTATAAAATTCTTATAAGGCCTTGCCATATGCGATCATGTACTCATTGTTTCAATAGCAATATATGATCAGATATATTTTCTCATATATGTTCATATATATGATAGACCATATATGTCCCACATATCATAATATGCTCATTTCTTATAAAATCACATGTGATTTTTTCATATGGGGAAGACTCATATGAAGCAAGACAATGTCAAATATATTAGTGAAAAACTTTTAAACAGACAAAAGAATGCAGAGAGGTGTTAAAAGAAGCAACAAGGAGATAGATAATCAACTTTAAAAACTATCACTTCAATTAAATTTCTCTCTGACACCTATGATAAGATGACTCCTATGCTTCAAGTCCCAATTAAGTAACAGGATGAATAAGGAGATGAATAAGAACATCAACATGAAGGAAAATTTCAGAGAAGATGCAAGAATCTGAAGAGCATGTATGAGGAATAAGCTATAAAAAATCAGAAACAGCTAAATTTCTGAGCATTCATATGAACTCCAAACTATTATATACAGGGTGGTTCACAATTGTCTCCCCAAAAGAAAATGCTTATTACTCTGGAAGTATACATCCGATTTCAATGATATATGGTTTAAATGATAGCCAATTCAATATATGTTTTTGTGGAAAAATTCAGCATTCTATAAGAAACTATAAAAAAAGTTACACCATAACAAATTAAAGTACCCATATCATGCAACTAAAGCCTGTAAATATCACAATCCCTTCCAAAATTTGCAATTCCATCTTGAGTCTTGCAATTCATTTGTGAGCTTTTCATCCATCACAAGGGATTGTCTGTGTCATGGGCAACCTCAGTGTCCTGCAGAAGACAAGCATTTCTATTTGGTTTGATAATTTGAAGAGTGCAAATTTGTGTGAGGAAAAATAGGAAATTTCTTCAGTTTTGGTCCAAATGCTTCAGTTCCTGATGAAAAGATCATGAAGGCAATTCATAAGAGGTTTCTCAACCTGAAGAGATTCGTCAGCAGACCTATGACTACCTAGATATGCTGAAACAGGCCATTAGGGATGCCTTCGCCACAGTAGGATCAGAGATGATCGAAAGAAGTCTGTTGGCATTCAAAGAGAGACTGCACTAAGTCATTGAAAATTGTGGAAGTCAAATTGAACACTAGCGATTACGGTGCTTTCATTTGTAAGGATGTAACTTTGTTTCAATTTGATATAAAATATTGAAAATTTCCAGGATAAAAATATATTGAATTGGCTATCATGAGAGCCAATATCATTGAAATCAGATTCATACTTCCTGAGTAATAGGCTTTTACTTTTGGGGAGACAATTGTGGACCACCCTGTACATATAGTCATATAACATATATTTTGCATCAAGGATATATATGTAACATCCATGCTAAGAAAATAGTCCTCACACATGCTAGAGGAGGATTAATCAATATCTACCATGTACTAATTGAATCTTGTGTCAGACATGAACTTAATAGAACCAACAATTTGTTACTTTGCTCTGCCAATATCTAATTTTTTATGCAAGTGTGTGATAAGAGTCTGTTCCCTCAATACACCCATTCCCGTGAATTCCTGTTTTATTTATTCAAACTCAGCTTTACATTGGATAACCCCCAACTTTGACTAATACACATTACGATGTGTACACTTTATAATAATGCCTCCCAGAGGAATAAAGATGGATAGATTGATCAACTAAGTGACTAAATACCTAGAACAGTACTGGACTGTGCAATTTAGAATTCACTCATGAATGCAGAAGAGCATATCTCTGACCGTGACCATATCAACGAAGTGTTTGGAATCCCACATCATGACATTTGAAACTCGGTTTGGCCAAACTTAAGCTTGGAGCTATTCAAAACCCTTCTCCGGTAAGCTCTTCCATAGCCCGATCGCACGCAAAGGTGAGGCCTACCTTGAGATATGAACCCATTAGCAATGGCTTGGGCCATATTTCCAGCACCAATAAAACCAATTTTCTCGTCGTCTTGCAAGGCCATGGTTTTAGACCCCATAGAATATCCTCCCTATGAAGACGGCGGGAGAATGCGCATGCATTGCACGTGGGGGATGCTCTTATCTTACCGAGCACAATGTTGCCAAATGCTTCTCGTCCCGACAGTTAGCTATTTTATGACATGCTATTAACTTTTTATTGGAAGCAATAAATAATTTGCATGCCATCTCCCTGATTGTCTTAGCGCTCTCATTCTGTCAGGGTATGACTTCAGAAGTCACCCTGGTTTTCAAAGAAAGTTTTCAAACAATTGTCAGTATATATATTTTGCATCACAAAAAAAACTAATGTGGGCGAGGCCGCCGAATGGGATTACGTGTTCTCCGTGTACGTAAAAGGGCCCTATTATATATGTACTGACTCCAATTAGATAAGTACCGGTGAGATTCGGAAGGACTAGGCTGGTCAGCAACAATAACAATGGATATATTGAATGTATACCACTCACTCGTATAGTCTACAGGCACCAAGCAGGAGGGAAGTTGATACGTCAAGGGCGACGGGAATAATTTACAGGTCCCTATACAATCCAGACATACAATACACACCGTTGTACAATGACCAGGCAGGAGGGAAGTCGATAAGTCAAGGGCGACGGGAATAATTTACAGGTCCCTATACAATCCAGACATACAATACACACCGTTATACAATGTCACACGATCACATCCACACTGTCACTGTCCACCATCTAGTCTCGCCTCCACCCCCTTGTCCCGGTCCGGGGGAGGTCTCTTGGAGGTGGGAGGTGTCCGGTAGGGGGTGGCTCCTCTTCCACTCCTCGGTGAGGTCCGCCGCTAAGCCCACACTAACATGGGCCATCGAGACATAGTTGTTGATACGATTGCCAGGAGCCTCCTGTATCATCATGTTTTTCACCCTATCTGTCATCACGGCAAAAGATGCTTACACGCATTCAGATCTGGGGATCCATCTGAATTTTTTAATAATGCGCAATAGCCAAAATCCACCATCATTCAGCACCGGCGTGTCTGGGGTGACTGAAGCACGCACGCACGTGCGGAAAGGCAACGGCCAGAATCCCGTCACACACCCTGGTCACTTCACTATCACCGAACTTTCCAGCCATAGCACTTAAATATCTTAAATTAGGGACATAAATCCTCTGTTAAACGCGGAATTCAATGGTACTACTCTTTAGGTGCATATATCCTGGTTCAATGGCTAGTGGGCAGTAGTGTATTTTACGGGGGGGGGGGTAGCCGCCCCCCCTAGGAGGCAATATTTTTCTCCTCCGATATCGCTTGGGTGGGGTTTGGTGCCCTAACCCCCCCCCCTCCCCTCCCCCCGTGACTCTTCAGCCGAAATGCGCCACTGTTAAGGGGAGAAAAAGGTTTTCTGATGCTCCGTATGCTCTTTTCACCTCATGTGATACAGAAGCGGATGCTTTGCTTCCGTACTTTAACGATTGACTCCGAGTCTATGGGTAACTTGCATCACATCGGTTTAGGAGCTCAACTGATCTAATTCCGGGCAAACGATTAATTATAAGTTGAACTCGTCGTTAAATTGATTAGGGACATGCACCAAATTGAATTAGTCTATTTCTCTCTTAAACTAATCTTCAACTATAAACTTGCTTCATAGCAGGTGTAATCTCCCTAAACGGATTCTGAGCTGTAGTGAGCCTCAGTTTTCTTGTCTTTCATCATCAAGCGACGGTGAAAATGGAAACGAAGGAAGAGATAGTAGTTTTTGACGTCATCCTGAACGAACCCGCCAGGAGGACTATCGGAGATCGGCTTGATCCCCTTCAATAGAACAGTAAACACGAATTCCAAAGAAGATTTCGTCTTTCCAAGGACACCGTCTTCGACTTGCTGCGGACAATGGGGCCGTAGCTGGCACATGATACCGCTCACAATGACGCATTACTCTCGATTTCCATCTTTCCATCCGCAATCCACAAAAAGTCGGGGTTCTCTTTTCAACTGCCCCCATACCGCCTTTAAAAGCGTTTAAATCATGGATAAACGTGTTCGTGGAAACTAATCTGATTTTCGTCGGCATGTCAAAGATAAACACATTCCTAAATATGTTTTGGTGCACATGTTCATCTCGATTTCAAACTAACCTGATTCTCAGTTGGTGCATGTCACCCTATATTTTTCCTTTTCCGTCCAGTCGGTCTCCATCGATCCGACCTGACTGATTCGCAGACAGAAATTTTTGCCGTCATTTTTGTAGTAACGGAAGTTCCGCTCCTTCCGTCGACGGAGGTCAACCTCCGGTCAGCGGTTTCCGTTTTGCACTGACAGTGATCGCTGGTTTCCGTTTTAGGCTTTCTGCGCCGTTTTCCGCTCTGTATAAATCTGCCTCCAGCCGGATTCTGGCCAGCGGTTTCCGTTGACAGGAGAAAAACGGAAGTTGAAAAAAGTAGATAGTGGCGTCGTCCGCTTGTTCTAGATGAGCTATTTAAACAAAGAAGAAATAGCAGTGGCCCCAGTATGGAATCCCGTGGGGCACCTATAACATGATTTTGCAGTATTGGGGTGGTTGTCTCATCAATGCACGAAAGTACCTGTTTGAAAACGTGTAGAGAGGAGGAAACAGATGTTGAGATTGCGAGATGTGAGACGCTCAGACTTACGCACGAGAATTTCATGCCAAGAGTGTCAAAACTCTTGAGAAGCTTTTGACAGCTCCAGTGCAGTTACCATGATTTTGTTCAGACAGTATCGATGGCGGTATTATATGAGAGAACCAATGATACGACCATGTGTGATAAGGATAAGAACCAGAAGGTAGCGTGATCGGCAACTATTAGAAAGAAGCGTTTTCGTCGAATGAGGAAGGAGAAAATCTGCGAAGAAATCTCCAATACCGGCGGAAGCTATTTCCTTTCTCTCGCTCTCGTCCAACTCCTTTTCGAGAGATTTCTCGAGGACTTTCGCTACCTCAGGTTGTAGGAGAGATCAATATCACACGTCCAGAACTACTCCTTGATTTATTTCAACGTCAATACTCAAAGAGAAGGGGAAAGGGTTATCATTTCCGAGAAGGACTGACAAGATAAACCCTTCAACTCCTACAGATTGAGGAACGTAACAGATGAAAGACCTCACGTCTTCAGTAGAGTTCTCGGTGAAGGTTCGTCACGCTCGATCCAGCTTCCGGGGCAGAGGCAGGGCAGGTACCGAAGGATAATACGTGACCGTGTCGCATGAACCGACCAACTCACTGATTGACGTGTACCGAAACATGCAGGCAGGAACCCGTAGAGCGCACGTGCGTTGAAACGAGCCGGAAGGCGGAAAGGAACTTTCATGACGACCCGTGAGGGCGTTCAGACACCGACCGACGTGGAGGACATGCGAGACGCAACGTTGGGGGTGGATGAATTAAAACGCCAGATTAGAGGTCAGTGGCATTTCTGTCAATTGTCATTTCTTGGCAATGGCTGCCAAGATGACACGAAAACGGAAGTGATCAGTAGCAAAGTAATAGGAATAGTATCCTACCATGTACCTATTTGGTGAATGTATTTCTTTATTTTCCTATGTATTTCTTGCTCCACGCATTCAACTTTTATATTTCTCCACCTACCATGAGCACGTCACTGCCGCCCTCTCATTGATGCCTAATTTCACTTTTCGATTTGTAAACTTACTGCATCGTTGTTGTCTTTTTTACATATGGTGAGCTGGCTTCTTGAATCAATGTAACCTATACGTTTTGTCAAACTTGCTTAATTTGCTCCCATTCTCGATATCGAGACGCAATTTCATCAATTGAAGTAAGTGGAAATGAGATTACAAGCCGAATATACCATACTGGAATGAGAGATGTCGGGGGGGGGGGGGGGGGGGGGGGTTTTTACCCCGTCCGTGGGGGGGGGGCGAGGGGGGGGGGGGGGGGGGGGGGGGGGGGGGGGGGTTTCTTAACCCGTCCGTGTGGGTGAGGCGCACATAGATAGAGGGGCGGGTTTTTTTTTCGCCCTATTCCAATTAAAAAGTCCATTTTGTGAACGTTTAGCTACTTTCCGGTTGATTCTGGAATACAGAGTCCTGAAAGTCATGTGAGTATTTTTTTCATGGTGCATTACCAAAAAATGAAGCAATGTTGAATAAGTAAATACATTTACGAAATCCTGAGCATCAGGAGTTATTGCACAATTGTTGGAGATTTGCACATACACATGTCACCCTTGAAAAATATTGCCTTCCAAATATCCTCCATCTTACAGGGAGCAATTGTATGGCTCCAACAGGATGGCACATGTTTGCATGTTATCAAGCCGGAACACAATCACACTGTTGCTTACCCTTATCCCCCAGCTCATTCTTTCTCGTTTTGGTGAAATCATCTGGCCATCGAGACCCCAAGACTCGTAGGCCTCTCACTTGACTTTAGATTATTTTCTCTGGGGTACTTGAAATACGGTGTTTATGCGAATAAATCAGGGCAATTGCCGCACCGAAATACAATTTTAGGAATGCTATCGAGGCTCTCACTAAGAAAGTATTGGTCACGGGGATGAAGGCAGTCGTGCTCCGCACACGCGAATGCTGCATGCGTGATAGAACACATTTCCAATTTTATTTATTTTTTCCTGTGCAACGAGCGAGTGCATATCCCTTGGTAACCGCGCAATGTATTGATAACTCCTACCACTCCTGCCACTAACTGAATGCCGCAAGTAGAGTTGCCACCTTTGAATTTATCAAAATACGGACTGATGGAAATATGGACAAATATTCGAAGTATACTTGCATATGGGGCTCAGCCGCAAATACCTACAGTCACTTGTAGCTAAGGCGCTAATCGATACAATAAGAGTGTGGCCTACTGCTTTGGACTCGTGGAGGAGTGGTTTTAGCTGTTTTTAAGCTTTATTAACTCAAAAAATTTTAACGAAGTTTAAAGTAAGGAGAAAACAGTCTCCATTTAAAGACAAGTTTGCGATATGGATATTGCATCCAAAATATGTACTGTCCAAGCTAATTTTGAACGGGTGGCAACCCTAGCTGCAAACACTATCTTCATTCTACTTTTCTCTGTTCTTTGGCAATGCACCTCTAAAATCCCGACACTACCTTGTATTTTTTAAAGATAGGGTGCAATGGTGCCATTGAAGTATGTGTTCTTTTTTTTATTTAGGGTCCTTGCAGCAAGATTCTCTTTTGGTAGGGAAAACTGGAGACCTACACATCCCCTACCATCATGCCCATTCCGATGAAGAGTGGAATGCAGAGGCGGCTTGTGGACGAAAAATCTGGGGAGGCCAACACATCGTCTTCATAATGAAAAAAAATCATTGTAGATCATGGGAGGCATGAAGCACAATAGGGGTGTTTAAATCAGTCTTGTCGCCTGATGAGTTTCACTTCTTGAAGAAGCAGATAGCAAATGCCTATTCGGGTGACCGAGCACCTCCCTACTGAAGGCAATAGGGTCTAAAGACGTGCTAGCGCTTGTTAGCACGCATCCGCTCACGTGCAATACCGACTGTTGGGGTTCGCCTCCTCGCTCTCGTATACTACTGTACAAGGTATTGCACGTGCTACGTGACACCCTATGCATGGTCTAGGGACCGGGAGGAGGCTTGGCATCCATTCTGAGCAGGAATCAACTTGTCAGAGACAGGACTCTACTTGTTTTGTGCTTATTGAGAATGGATCCCATGGTTTTGAGAGATTTCTTTCGGAAATTTAATATATTAATGGATATTTCCAAGTTGTATGTAAGTCGTTTCTTTGACCATAACTTACTGCGATGTAGAATTCGTCGATGGAAGCCTGAAATCTTACTTTTCTAACACGAAAGTCTTCCATCAACGCAGCAGCCTGGTTAACCTGGCAGCTAATGACATCCTTGAGGAACAAAACTGGTTATAAATACGGATATTGCATACATTTTCGAAACCGCTCACTCCAACTTAATGGGGTCACGGCTCGAGCAGGCATCCTGTAGTGTTCCCAATCCTGTGCAACGAACTCGAGCTCGGCCAGCAGAAAACCGATCCTCTCGTGGAAAGACTTCGCGATGTAGTCCGTCCACCTTGCATGAGGCCTACCGACCGGTCTTTTGCCTGTCATTTTTCATCGGAGGACTCTATTTGGGAATCTCTCAGGAAGCATGCGGGAGACGTGTCTAAACCAACGGGCCTGGGATCTCTCGATCCGAATAGCTGCTCGACCTGGAGGTTCTCACGGTTGGCTGCTCTCCGCATCCTCTTACTTAGCATTACACCGGCCAGCCGCCGCAAGAAAGTCATTGAGAAAGTTCAAATCCGGAACCTGAGACTCTTTGTCATTACCATGGGTTTGCAGTCATAGGCAAGGGTTGGGATGTAAACCCTCTCAAAAAATGAGAGTTTCGCCTCCTTGGAAATGTCAGATTCGGCAACTACTGTACGTCAGAGTTCACACAAAGTTGCGGAAACCCTGGAGCTGTCGATCCCATTTCCGTATCGCCCGTCACTCGAGTATCAGACCCCGAGGTGCTTTAACATCTCCTGCCGGGCCAAAAGGGCGGCATCATCAGCTAAGAGAAGTATCTTTATTTCGATAGCATCCATGTTGACCCTCTCGAGGCCAAGACTGCGCCGACAGATCCCATCCATGAAAATGAGGTATTTATTTCCCATTTTCTTATGTCAACTGCTCCGGTGTGGCGCTACATTGTGTTGAAAATATTCATTATCGGCACAATACCAGGCAGGAGAATGTTTGGAACTTCCTGAGATGGTCACTAATGTATTAAGATTACTTGATAATCAGTGTTACACGAGGAAAACGTTCGCTCGTGAGCAGAGCAAATGAACATTGTTCTCTTTCCTATCGCGACGAATTTCAGAATGCGGGCCCTTAGTTCTTCCTTAACTAAATATAATGAGAAATATATCATCACATTTTCTACCTGGCTATTGGCCATGAATTATATGAATTCAAAGCGAAGCAACTGCTATGGTTCCACAGTGTCCCAAGTTAGTTGTCATTGGGTTGTATATTATTCAACTATTACAATCAAATCTTGCGATCTTCATGTGGAACCAGTAACATTAGCTGCAGTTCGGAGGAATCGAGTTCAACGTCTTCAAGAGTGAGTTGGCATGGCGGACACTGAACATTTCCCTGAACATTTCCATGAATTCCTTCTGACAAGTTTGAGTTAAATGTTTTTTTTTTTCCTATAATACATGTTGAGGATTGTAAATGAATTCTGGAATTCCCTATAGATCCGACGGGCTCATCCATGACTTATGCCATTGTCGAAGCGGAAGGCCTCAACCTCTCAGCTCCGATGTCGGCAGAACTGTATCTCCCAAGTTGATCGCACCTTAACCCGTTCCCTAGCGCGAGTTCTTATTCGATGAGTTGTATAAATACATCGCATAGCGCGATACCGTATACAAAATTTCAATAATTCTACTTTTGTACATGCATGATAAAAAAAAAGAACAAACATAAAGGGAATAAAAGGCCTGCAAAATAGGCGCAATTAGAGAAATGAAATCACAGGAGGAAAAAACCGCTGGAGGAAGGAGGAGCGCGTTCAACCATGCTAGGGAAAGGGTTCACGTTACAATTGTGGCACCGCCTGATCCAAATGAGACATTATTCCGTATTTCAGGAAGTTTCACTTCAGACACTCCTGAGACAGAGATACTCGGAAAGTAGGAGAATCGAGATGCACAAGTGGAGAAGAGAGAGCGATGTGTCTGTAACTCCCAGCTTGTGACACAGAACTAAACATCTTTTGCATCAATGTTCTCATCGTACGGACTTGGAAGTATGGAGTCTAGAATAGGACGGTTCTCATTTCCCTGCCGGCAGTTCCGGTTGCTACACGCCCAAGCGTGAGATAAGCGCGTGGAATGCACATCACACGACCCTCTTATTCCGCCTCCAAGTCTCTCCTCTCTCCCCTCCCCGGAATTCACAGAAGAGCTGTGACGTCAGCCACAGTTGCCAAATTTTACATTCTGCCACAAATCGATTGATCTGAAAATGAGTTCTGTCAATATGGTAATATGGGCTTCTGTCGTGTCTCATAACAGATTCGATGAGCGTTGAAGCATGTAATAAGAATAAAAGGGGAAATTCCAGTGGTTTTGCATTTGTTTTCCGGCTTCATTTTCTCGACACTATCGAGCATCCGTAACATGCTTCGCAAGGCCCGGGAGTGCCCCAGTGACGTCGACTGACGTCACGGCACTTGAACCAATCAGGGGAGGCCCTTATGATGCCATGTGAGGCTGACTCATCGAAAGTTCCCTGCAAGTGGAGGCATGAATCCCATGACTCATAAAGGCTCTTCCCCGTAGCGAGAGCCACCCAGTCGATAGCCAACGCTCGCCTGTGCTGCATCTCGCTGCGCTCACTCCGTTGTTATATCAGTGCGAGATTCCTGTTTGTCCGCCAAACAGTTTCCGCTCGAGGAAGAGAAGCTTTATCAAGCGTTTCCCGGGCACTATGTCCACAGAGTTGTCGCTCTACGGTGACGAGACGGGAAGTTTCTTCATGTCGGCCAATCGAAAGAGACTTCATTTGGACCTGAACGCATGCAAACCCGGTGCAAAGAAAGTGAAGATGAATGCGGCGGTGCTCTCTTCGCCAGATTTGAACATGCTGAAACTGGCCTCACCGGACCTGGAACGATTTATCATACAACAGAACGGGCTCGTCACTACGACTCCAACCCCAACAGGAATCGCCTCGATCCTGTTCCCCAGACAAGCCACAGAGGAGCAAGAGAACTATGCCCGGGGTTTCACGGATGCCTTGAACGCCATTCGACAGTTGGAGCATCAACCAGGCGTACCCTTGGACATGGTACCACCTTTGACCAGCCCCATGTGTTACACTGATCTCGACAGCGTGAAATCGGAAGATAATAGTTGCGACAATGTTGAGACGTGTCCGGTCATCACAATTCCCTCTCAAACGGAAGAGTATTCCACCGTGGATGAGTTTTCTCTCCTCTCTCAAGAGGCCTTGTCGCCGGAATCGGATTCCAGTCGATGCAGCAGCAATTACACGCAGAGGAGTCGAATCCGTCGCATCTCAAACGTGGAACCCATCGACATGGACCAGCAAGAAAGGATGAAATTGGAGAAGAAACGGGAACGGAACCGCATCGCCGCCTCGAAATGCCGTCAGAGGAAGTTGGAAAAGATTTCTAAGCTGGAGGATCGCGTTCGTCAGCTGAAGGGGGAAAATGCGGAACTCTCGGGAGTTGTGCATAAACTCCGAGCACACGTGTGTACCCTCAAGGAAAAGATCTTGAGCCATGTGAAAGACGGCTGCACCCTCATGGTCGCCCCGGATTTCCTCGTCAAGGACGAGGACTCCATTATCATCTCCTCCCAGGCCTAGGCCTCTTCAGCTCCCACCTATCCCTACCCCTCCCCCCCTTTCCCCTGTACTTTTGTTCACCCTGGCATCTGGCGATGCTCGTTGCAAATGGCTCCAAGAGTTATATTTTCCTTGTACCTGATCTCCGCCATCGATACGGAATCCTATGTACACAAGGCCATCGGCCTAGTCATTGCTCTTCGCGTAGCCGATCCAGCTTTCTATGCACCGATAGTGCCGTGCACCAAAGTGCGTTTTGCTTTATGGCTTTTATTGATTTTTCTCACATTTTGAGATTTTTAATAAATGAAAAGAAAAATGTGGATCAGCGCTGATTGGACTTTAGTTGCTTCGAATAAGCCAGCCATTATCACAAGAGCAGATAGATACAAGTAATGAGTTCTTCAAGAATGATCTTCATGCCTTATCCACCTTATCACAAATGCACTTCAGCCATCAGGTGAAGGTAACACAAAGTCCCTGAAGTGGAAGAACTGGACAGAAGATCCCACACACCGTGCAACAACAATAGGGACTTCATCTGCTCTTTCTCTCTGCCAAGCTTGAACCCTCTTTATGACTGAGGCCATAGTCTCATGTCTATCAAAGGATAAGGAAATTTGTACATCACCTTCAAAGCCTAAATCTGTGAATGACAACCTCATGAGTTCACATTACATCCTGACTTATTCTGCAATTCCCTTTAACAATTAACCCTTGGAACGCCAAGATCATTTGCATCCCACGAAACGCCAAGATCCATTTTTGACCCATATATATTTCTTGTAACGAATGAGGATTTTGTTCAGAATAGAAGCTACACATACCTTTTTAAGATATTTATGTACCAAGTAGATACCAAAAAAAGAAATGATCCAACGGAACCTTGGAGGACTGGCCATCAGGTCATTTTCACCCGATGATCTTGGTGTTCCAAGGGTTAAGATCTGAGGTAGAGGGATCACGAGGACTGAGAGTCCATAGCAGAACAATAATGTCTTTAAAATTCTTGACAAACTATTGCACACTACATAAGTTGTGGCTATGCTAAGAATTGCTGCTAATACTGCAATAGGTCATACTCTGATTTCATAGTTCCTAGATACCTGCTTCAAAGAATTCCAACAGACTAGGAGTTTGTGGATGACAGTGATGACAATCCTTCTGTTTATGACATGTCTCTAGTATGGCAATGGCCAACTACTGAGATGCATGCCAGTCAAAGATATTGGGTATCACATTTGCTAACAACTGGGCAAATTATCCCCCCCCTCACCATAAGCACTCCAGTTAAAAATATGGTTAAAAATAATTGCAAACCCTAAAACTTTGTGCTTTGTTGGTCATGGTAAGATACTCCAGCGAGAAAAGAAGTACTTTGGCACAAGTGCCAATGAGAGGGGCAATTTAAGCAGATGTGGGATATTCCAGAAGGTGCAAAATCTGTCATTTTTAAGTTGACTCTGTTTTCTTCAACCTCACATCCACAAACATTTGCTGCAGAATTCTATTACAATGGCAGACTGGATCATTTTTCCAGCAGCATTTTTTCTTTCCATTCATGAAGTTTGGAGGATGTCTTGAGAGTTTATGCAAAATATTCACTTAAATTTTCTCCTCCCATGAGAAACTTAATTGAACAATTTTATAATCACTCAATCTCTGATGTTGGAGGTACTCTACCTTCTTTTAAAATATATCTGTCTCAAATATTTGCCACCACTCTAAAAAGGTATGTTGAGAGATGCCTACCTTGTAGGTAGAAGGAAGACACGCAGTAAAGGCTCAGGAGGATGGTGTCTCTTCACTGTAACTGTTGGGAGGTGAATATCAAAAATTACTTCATCACTTGATAAACTTTCTTCCTGAACTATTTCTGCACTGTTTGTGGCTGTTGGCCCCACATCAATCTGCCTCAGTACTGTACCTGGAGGGAAAAGAATATGGATGATGCAAAAAGGCTAAATTTCTCAGATCATTGGCCAGTCTCTCTTTAGCTTACCAACATTAACAGCATCCTTGGGTTCAATGAGAGGTTTCACAGTTCCATTCCAGAGAGATTTCAGAGGTCCTTTAGTCAAAGTCTCCTTTTCTTCTTTGTCCTTCAACTTAATCTTCACCTTCCTCCAACTCTCCACTTCAGGAGGAATTCTTGGAAAGGCACTTTCATAGCTCTCATTTTTGTCTTGATTCCTGAAAACTCCACTTCTTGATTCATTTTTTCTGGCATGAGCATTTTGACGATACTTTGACCATGCCCCTCGGTGCCCATGACTTTGTCCTATAAATGCATGCCTATGTCTTGGCTGTGCTGCCCTGGGGAAGAAATGTTGCTGGGCTGGAGGTGGATAACCAGATTGGCCAGAGTTCCTCCCACTAAAGGGCGGGGGGTAGTTATACATAAAGTTAGGAGGATAATGCTCCTGAATCCAGGGATCTATGTGATGAGAAGGCATAGGAACAAAGGGAGGCATGGGATCATAATAAGAACTTCCAGACCAATGACCTGGAGCAGATTCCATTCTAAAATGTGTCTGGCTGTGGAAATGTTCAAATTGATGTGAACTTAGGGGAGGTCTTTGATATCTTTGCCAGTTTGAGGAAGTATTGAAGTTTGACTGCAGGCTAGCATTTCTTTGGAATCCAGTAGAGGAAGGTTTAGGAGGTTCCTTCTGAGACCTTGATGTAGTCTTAGCAACTTTTTCTCTCACTTCAGCCTGCATTTTTGCAATGTCAATGGTGTACTCATCTTTAATGGGCTCAGAATTAGGAGGAAGGAGGATATCCCTGTGAACTTGCAATGTGATTCTGTTACGCCCATACATGTTTGGAATGATGGAAAGGAGTTCATCTCGAGATGATGAAGGAGGCGGGCTGAAAACTGGAGAGTCCAAAACTGTTATGACCTCCACATTCTGCTTGGTATCAGCCTTCATTCGCTTTGGAGCACAGGACTTAACTAAATCCTGCAGGGGTGAAGATTTCTTCTGCTTCAATTGTCTCCCTTGAGTTAAGGTGCTTGCAGCACAAGTATCATCCCCATCAGAATCTAAAACAATTACGTCTTCACAATCTTTCAATCCTGGCTGGGACTTACCAGACAGAATGACTTTATCACTTGACATGCCTTCTAAATCATCTGTTATCTCTATCACTTCAATTGATTTCTGGGATGAAGAATCATTAAATTCACCATCATTGTTAGAAGGTTTAGAAGAATCTGGCAGGGAAGCCTCAATCACATCTTCCAAGGAACAAGCTACAGCAAAAAAGGGCTCACTTTTCCCTTCTGTCTCTTTCACATCATCTGAGATTTTTACTGATGCAGCAGCTGATGCAAGGATGGTGGGGAGACAAACCTCTACCTCTTCCCTTTCTTCTGAATTAGAAAAGGCTGTAATCTCGTTGGATGCAGATTCAGCCTGAACATTTCCTTCACTCTCACTTTTAACAGGTGAAGCATCTTCAGCACTTTTTGGAATCTCCACATGTTTTTGGACAGAGGGAAGGGATTCCATAGATACTTCTCTGAGATTCTTACATTTAGATGCCTGTATTACATGTTCCGTAGAAGGCTTCTCCAATGTCCCATCCAGTATCACAGTTTCAATATCCTCAAAGTCCATCTCATGTTGCTTGACTTCCTTGCTTGATAAAGAGAGGAAAGACTCCTGATGCACAGAATCCTGAGAACTTGCAGACATTTGGATGGGTACTGGTTTCTTCTCTCTCTTGTGTTGATAGGTGTGAAGGCGAATACGTTTCTCATACCATGTGACATCCCTTGACCTATACCTCATGACTTTATAACCTTCTTGAGACAGGTATGCATACACTTTATACTGTTCAAGAGAGTCACAGGATGTCAAAAGAAGATTGAAGGCTCTTTGGGTGCTGATAGGTATCCCTTCATGCACCAGCTCCATCATTTTCTAAAGAAATAATATTTGCAAATTTGAATTAGATTAAGCAATGACAGATGTTTCACCAGCAAATTACAAAGGATGACCCCATGACAAACCATTTCCATGAGGAAGATAGCCTCTTCAGGATATAGGTAGGTCTGACTCTTCAGAGATAAACCCATGTAACCCCATTTTTTGCCTGCAGTTTTCTTGAGCATCACCAAGCCCAGTTCAGGATTATATTCCCCCAAGATGACATCAGACCTGCATGTGATACTTCATTAAAATAGCATCAATTTTGCCTAATTTTGAAGTTTACCTAAGACCATTTGGGCCAGGGGTGAGGATGACTTCAGAAAACAACTTACAGCTTGTAAATACAAGGTGCAGCAAGTACAGCCTTTCTCTGGTCCAGTAGTTGTTGTATTTCCTTAGCTTCAAGCCAGCTACCACCTGGAAAGTTGAGCTTTGGTCCTTTGATACCAGGATTGAGAAGATCCAATTCTTCCCTGCCTCGTAGGGCCTCCACTGCTAACTCAACTCCACTCAAGCTAATTGTCAGAGGGGGAGAAAAGGGAACTGTCACAACATGAAATTCTTTAAATCTACAGCAGAAAAATTAGACCAAGGCAAATGTAGGCTATGAAATGATTGCCTGAGAGGACTAAGCTACAAATGAAAATACAGTAATTGAACCAGGGGATAGGTATGGGGTGATTTGTTAACATTTAAAGTGCAAATGCTTCATCCTATTTTTGGATTGAACTCATACCGCCCACTCCCCTTGGGTAATGAACAGAAAAAGCACTAATTCTTAGGTGTCTGCTGAATCAGTGTGACTGGGCATATTGCAACGAACCTGGACTGAAATTGAAATATCGGTTCTAGCTTTTAGGACTGATGAACTAGAAGGAATTAAAAGATAAAATCATCTCATACAGGTTAGGAGAGTGCCAAGGAATGCAGAAGAGTGAATGAGATTTGGTCTAAGATGTGAATACCACTTTGGCAGGGTAGAGATGGATGCTCATGGAAAGCATGGGAATAAACTGCATTCATGTATATGCAAGAAAGAGTCAAGATTTTTTTAAGATTGGAAGAGGTAACAGCAATGACAGGGAATTGTGATTTGATGCAGGGCATTTGGTGCACACAGGCAGAGAGATAAAATGTCTGAAGAGAATGCATAGTCCTCAATTTGATGGCATATGTATGATGAAAATGAAACAACCCAAAATGCACTTCAGATCTTGTGGTGTGAGATGAGGTTTTAATTTTCCTAGGATAGAGAGAGAGAGAGCACTTTCACAGAGAACTTTTGTGGAGTGAGCATAGAAGGGGCTTCCAGGTAAGTTTATAATTGACTACTGCACCCAAAATTTTCTAATGTTCAATAAGATGGAACAGATGGCAGGAAGAGGTGAATGATGCTACATTACTGCAAAAGAAGCATCTCCATTGTTTTTTTTTCTGATAGACTAATGGCTCATTCAGTTTTTCATGGCACTTGCAGTACTGGTGATACTTTTGAGAAGGGTAGGTAGTGTGGGTTCTGCAAGGTGCTGATTAGTATTGTCTACAAATAATGAGAATTTAGCTTAACAAGATTGGATGATTTGCAAGTGAAGGAAAAGAATCAGGCCAAGAACCACCCCTTAAGAAAATCTAGCATTAATTTGGATAAGATCTTTCCATATTCTAGAAACTGACCTGCACTATAAGCTACTGCTGAAGTTCTTCCTGATAGGTTTAAAACTGTTGAAACCATTCCTGAGTTATTCCTCATATACCACAATAATTAAGTATGAAAAGAGGTCTGTTATAATTTACTCCACGAAGGGCATGCCTAACTTCATAAAATACTCCAGCTGCCAAATTACTGGAATGTATAGGATCAAATAAGGAGATGATATCCAGAGTGGCCCAAAAAGCCAAGCTATTGACTTAATAATACTGTAAGTCAATGCCTTGATATATGAGAGCTTTGATGCATTAATACAACAATTGTTTAGCAGATTCAAATTCACATCTCATGTTTCATGATTTTTCAATTACACTATGAACAAAATTCAACCTTTATAAAGAAAACTACTGTAACAGTTGTAAGCTGCCATTTAAGTAATAGCAATGACAGTTGTTGATAAAAATAACACATTATATTTCACATATCCATGTACCACAATTCCTTTTTCTCACAGATATTGAGCTAATTCAAAACAATCTAGAGCTACTCATGCAAAAATTTGACAGTGGTCAAAACTTTGAGTTAAGGGAGCCAGAAAAACTGCAAAGAAATTCCAACAAAAAAAACTGTGATCCTGAAGGTATTATTCAGAAATTTGATGAGATAGTGAAGGCCAAGAATCCTATATACTGGAGCAACAGCGTAATTTTATTGGAACCATATACAAAATTGCCCTGTATCCTTGGATGAACCATAGAAATAACCTTTCACATCCTAAAAGGTAGGACAAATTCATTTGCAAATTACTGTGGTCACCTACTCCTTCCACTAGGCATGGATGCAGAGAGAACCCTTCAAGACAAGTAGCTTTTTTTAAATCAAGATGGAAAATCAGAATGAAGGTCAGTCATGTTCACATGGCTAAGTTTCATTCTCATTTTCATGCGTTGCAAGAAGCATCTACCTGTGCCAGTCAACTGAGAAAGAAACTTTTGAAAATTAGACTGTGTAAATATACTGATTTTGACTGTCTGATAGTAGAAAATGTGACTCAAAACATGGATGAGGTGATCATCTCAGTCATTGTCTGCCTGTCAACCTGCCACAAGGAGACATGGTTGTCAAAGATTGCCCAGACATTTTGACTTAGTTTTTGTCACAGTTGCTTTGGATAAGGATGTCCAGGTTCAAGCTGAAGTGCTTTAGGACATGTAGGTGGCTTGCTGTGTGATCTACTTTTTTCAAAATATGTATGTAGTTTTCATAATACCTTTTGAGGATAGGATCTGGAGCAGCAAGAAACAAAGTCTTTTACTAGACTAAGATATGTGAAACATACATGTGAAACATGCACAAGTGTCTGTGTCTAATGAAATATTCTATATTAGCATTCTGTAGGCTATGGCATAATTGAGAAATTACGTCAATATTTAGTCAAGTATGAATGAGACACTGGAGGCAATGTGGACATTAGACACAAAAATAGAAGACTCAAGAATTTGAAATCACCCCAAATTTGAAACTTGGCAAGTTGACCATATAGTCTACCCTATGGCATCATAAAATATGTTGACTTTATACTTGGTGTGATCATAAAGTTCAGAGACTAAATTTTTTATGATGCTGTGGTGACTCTTTCTGACTACTGATGGTTATATTCTTCAAACTAGTCCTCTTCAGCATCTACAAAAATTTTATAGTGTTTCTTCAACCATTGGAATCATTGCTGAGACTTACCTTTTGGAATTGCCAGTGCTTGTGGGGCAAAGCAAAATTGTGTACAATTTTGCTTTGAATGCATGAAATCTCCTTCAACACTCTCTTTAGCTTAGGGAGAAATAAAAAAAATTACTAGGATCTAAGTCTGGCAGGTTGGATGGCTGATGAAGCACAGCAATGGCAGGGTAGGTCAGAAACCACTGAAACTGCAAAAGGAAGGAAATTTCAGGACTTTTAAAACAGCATTACTATGTACCATAAGCGCTGCTGGTGATTACAAAAGACGAGTGCCAGCAATGATTCCAGTGGCTGAGGAAACACCAAAAAAATTGTGTAGATGCTGAAGAGGACTACTTTGAAGGATGTAGCCATCAGAAGTCAGAAAGTCACCACAGCATCATAAAAAACTCAATTTCTTAACTTTTTAATCACACCTTGTACATACACTCTACTTAAAAGACCGGCGTCAAAAGAAGTATTTAAAAAAAGTCAATAAAACTTTTCAACTGCCCCTCCTCCAATGGTGAAATCCTATCTTTTGACTTATGCCTTGACCTGCTGCCACCTAGCCTGATGAAGATCCGTGTAAGTTAGCTTAATTTATACTGAGATTTACTTCTAAGCCCATCACAGAACGATTTGTTAGAAGTGTTCAAACAGAATCAGGAGGCAGGAACACTGGTAGATTTATGCCTATGCTTCCGACAAATCCTTCAGCCAAACATTTATCTCACGTAACTCACAATTTCTTAATAGTAGATCCCCCCTGCTCTGCGTCCATGGCGCTCTTCTCCCCAGGACATTCCCTCTGGGCTACGATCTGGTAGATCTCTGCTGCACCAGTCTTCTTGTACCTGCACGTGTTTGGTGAGGTTGCTAGTGCCGCACTGGTGGGGCTGGCCGTGTCGTACTACATCTAGCCTCAACGATCCTACTGTTGTAGTTTCATCTTGTTACTTCAGATGTCAGAAGTTGTTCGAGAGCAAGGACCTTTATCTAGCTGAGTGTATTCAGAGGGGGAGAGGAGCATGAAGGAGGGAGGAGTGAGGGAGATGGGGGTTGGCCGCTGCTGGCGTGGCCCTGGTTCAGTTTAGCCTGGATTCAGTTGTGTAGGCCTTGCGACGACTGCGGGGTGAACCTCTCTGTGTTTCTTGCCTTCCCTGAGCCTTGTACATCTTCAACACCCTCTAACCACCTCGCTACATATCTGTGTTCGGTAACAACTAGGCCTAGGCCTTCGATCAACTCAATATATTGTCATGTTGTGCTGCTTTCACATTTCCTATGCGAAGCCTAGGCCTAGGTCTCGAAGTTCGGCTTCTCTCAGTCGATCCTTTAAACCCACGTCTGCTAAGTTTTTAATGGATTTCGACCGCAACTTCACAAGCAGCTAGTATTAGCAGGAATCGGACGCCTGTCAAAGGACGGCCCGAGGGAGGCGGCTTTCCTTTGTTAGTACCGCTATCATCTTTACTCTGTAATTTGAATCAGAGTAATGATTCAGATGAAAGATGGAGTGATTGATGGACTAGTTTCTCATACCTCTTGAAGAGGCCTTTGGCCTATTCGTGTTCACTAGGCAGACGAACTATATATATATTCTTATATATATATCTCATTCCCATCAAAGGAGTTTTTGTGCCCAAGCCGCCCCTTTTTTTTATGATAAATACCTGGTCACGGCTGAACGATATCAAACCTGGATCGTATAAAATCCGATCAGAATGTCTGGCAGTCGACAAGTTTGACAACACTGCATGCTGTTCTTTCTTGGTTGGTAAAATTCCATCCCACTTTGATGTCGTGCACCAGTCATGAACCGCGGAGGGGGAAAAAAAATTGACGGAAAGGGGGAATGATAAATGATGATCTACGAAGGGGCATCCCATCGCTTGTCCAATTTGCCGGCTCGGCTCCCCCTGGCGTGGCGTGATAATCGTTATCAATCAACTCAGGTTGATGAGAGTAAACATCCTCCCCGTTGCGGGAATATTTCGGCCGCGTCAAAGGAATTCAATGGCTGAGTGGTTGATATACATACGTAGGAGGAGAGGACGATTGTGTCTGTCGTGGAAGGAGCAGGCTTGGCTCGGAGCTATAAATTAAAATGTCGCCCTGAATGATGAGGCCCTGTTCTGTGCCGAACAGCCTCAGGCCAGACCCGACCTCTGGGACTCCCTCACAAAAAAAGAAAAGAATTCCTCCCTCGAGAGTGGAGAGGGAAAGATCAGACTCTCTGTGTGTGACTCCGCACTTTCCATGCGAGTTCTCCTCAATCGTTCATTGTTTATTTCCTCTGCGTCCCTTCGTCCTGGCTGCATGGATCGTCAGTATACGCCGTTGACTGAAGGAGGTTTGTACGGTGAGTGTGAGAAAGGGAAGATCATCTATCAGAAGGGCGCCCGTCCATGGAAGGAACTGGGCCCTGAAGGAAACAAGATGGAAGATTGAATTCGTGACATCCTGTCCCCTCCCCTCCCCCTTTTCCCATTCATTTCATTCCCATCAGAAAATGCTCCAACGATGATTACTTTGTCTCCTGTCTTAAAACGAAAAGGGCTTGACGCAAAGGATAATAGGATGTTCAAGACCTCTGCAATGCTTTATCTGAGACTAACACTGCAACAGAGCTGAGACCAGGGCAAAGTAGGAACGATGCTGTATAACAGCTTAAGGAATGCGTATAATTTAAATTGGGACGAAGAGCTGCTAATGGCTCCACGTGTCCCTCGGAATGAAATTATAAACCTACATGAAGTTGTCCAACCAAACCCGTTTTCAGCAATGTCCAGTTTTTTTTTCCCGTTATGTTATATGGTCAACTGTACCTGCAGAAATCTCGTGAAGTCATAAAGTGATGCTCGGGCACATCCCGGTATGCGTACAGCAAGTAATATGAAATAGGAGAAGGAGGCTGGCATGCCATTGAAGACGAATTGAGGCTGAATCTAGCCCGGGGCTACGCTCCGACCAGTAAAGTGAAGAGAGCAAGCCGGGTGAGCACATGCTCCCGAAATAGCTCTCGTCGAGGAAACAGCTGGCTCTGGTGTCCAATGTTCGACTACTGCAATTTTTAGCCTGAAGTTGACATAGGCTGATATGTATGTTTTCGTCGACATGTTTGTGGTGCGTTGACACAAGGGTGAAGGGGTGCCTGGCCGTTCCTGTCGTATCACGATGACGAATGAAAATAATATTCCCCGCGGAGGAGGAAGAGCTGATGCATTTTCCAAAACAAAAATCCGCCTGTCCGAGGTTGTGGTTTTGGGAACCCCGCCCCTGACTACAAGTGTTTACCTATAGACTTTAGAGACTCCTTTTTTCTTTTCATCTGGCTTCACCCTTGATGAGGGCTCATTTGCTTGGCTGTCAGAAGGCCAAAGGTGCATTGCATTGAAGAGAGTCCGGCCCTCGAGGCCCTGAGAATGAAGCGCCCTTCAAAGAGAGAAACGCTATGGCCCTTTTCATTCCTGGAGGAACGTTGACTGACAAAGTAGTTTTGAAGAACTTATATGCAGTGAAGGGGGAAGGAAGTTGGGAGACCGTGGTAATGAGAGAGGAGGGAAAGGAAGTTCATTCTTGGCCTCCGTTGACAGGGGACCCCAGACCATCTGCTTTCTCTCTGCTCTATCTTGGCATGGGACTCATCAGCCCGGCTTGTGAATTCCTGCCGCAATGCAGGTGAACTCCATCTTCGATTCTTTCGTATGCTTGAAGGACGGGTTCTGTCTGTCTCTCTCTCCCCCCCCCCCTCCTCTCTATCTATCTATGCAAACGAGGCAGTGTCTTGCGGTTTTTCTCTTTTGCCTCTTACCCCGGTGTGACCTGAATCTCAAGTCGACGTTTTGTACGCCCAACTGCTTTCTACCTTCTTTCCAACTTCGTGGTGTCCCGCGAACATCCGTGGGATGAAAGGAGAGAGATCTGGCTTACGTACACAGCGAGGGAAGCAATCTTGACTCTTGAGAGCTTGCAAGATCGATATCCACTTACGAAGAGGTAGAGTGCCGCCAGGTAATACAGACGAAATACGAAGAAAATATGAAGGATCTCTCTCCTGGTATAGGCCCCTTTATGACAGAAAATGAAAGCCTGATTAGACGCTCCATGGCCTGAGGCCGACCGTGCAATCATGGATAGAATTTTATTTATATATATATACTTTTTTTTTCTTTCCTCCTCCTTCCTCGCCTTCTTTGTACTACGGATGGATGTCCCCTGTGGGATAGGGGGCTCGTTATTCCCCTGCCCCGCAATTACTAGCTATTTGCAACGTTTTTTTTTTTCCGGTCAACCCCTTCGCCATTCGAAATGTCAACAAGCCCCTCTGTCCCCTCCTGACTGATGCTTCCTGCGGTTTTAGACGTTGATCCCTCATCATCGTCCTCTGCACATTTCTGGGAAAACACGTGTGTGTGGCAAAGCACTTCCCATCTATGGGTAAGGACGGGGCACACGTGCATGGCGCGTCGCAGCTGCGCCTAATGGCAGGAGGAGGAAAAAAACCAACGAGAGACGTCCAGTATTTACGTTCGTCTCGGCACGTTGCTGATTTCGCCCTTGCAATACATAGTTGAGGTGAAGCGTTGGGGTTTCTATCCCAGAGCCTGATCCTGATCCCGATCCCGATCCCGATCCCGATCCCATCTGCCTTTTCGAAGGAAGGCAGGGAGAATGAAAATGGGAGCTGGGATTGATCCCCAGTCTAATGGTGCGTGGATTCATTGCGACCCGGGTTGAAAGGAAAGGAAGCAGGAAGACTCTCAGGCTTCCATTTCCTTTCATCTCCTCTTCCCTCTTCAGGCTTTCTATATCTATTCACGTTTCATTCTGCATGGCAGTCCCGATCCCTCGGGAACCTGGCTCAGTCGATTGCCGCAGGTGTTCCAAGCCCTGATTTCCTTGACCAATGGGAGAGGATCATTGGAGATAAGTCTTGTTTGAGTTTGGGACCCTGACTCACCTTGACAAATAACGCTTCGACTGAGTTAAAGTTTGGATTTCAAGAGGCTATTAGAAATATTTACTTTAGCTCGAGTCGATTGATCTGATGGAACGCGGCTTCCTGTGAATGTTTCTAGTCGTCTGGCGTCCCACTGTCTCTCCATTGTATCCAGTTGACGTTTATAAATGGTCTTCCATGGCAAGGCATTTATTTTTTAGCTCTCTCGTTCCTTTCTTTCCCCCCTCTTCCTCCTTTCCCATGCTCAGCCGAATTCGGCTAGAATCGAAGCTGTCAGCTTCCTAACACTTCTTTCTTCCCAACCCCCTGCCGGCCCCCATGCACGAATGTATTAAGATGAGAGTGCCTATGCATATTATGTATGCCTATCCTTGCATTTATCACAAGGCATTGGGGATCCTTAGTATACTGCATCAGCATCACATGTGGATTTCTAACTTGTCAAGAGCGTACCGGTGTCAGGAGGGCAGTTCGTGTGCCTCGGAGGTACATGCAACCAGTCCGGATCTCCGTCACGTGTGTAGGTCTGCTCCTTCGCGTGTTTTCGGAGCCTAGGTGTGTCTTGGTAATTTCCATTATGTTATGATGCTGGTGGATCTCGTTTTTTCTCCACCTCTTTCGATTTGTCCTTATACGACGCGATTAGCGAATTGGTCCCTTCTACCATTTTCCCCCCAACTAATTAGGAGCTGCTGAACCCCCAATCCTTCCATGTTACAGATTGAGTGTTGAAGGAAAGAGCCAATGCATTCGAGATGAGTGCTGATGATGTCTTCTTATTCTGGCCATATCTCCCATGCATACACAGGGAGCTCAACTGGGCATACCCATCGCAACAACCCTCCCGGTTCTCATCAACCTCATCTTCCTCATCAGTATCATCATCATCAACCCCAGAGCATCTGGGAGGCCAGGTATATGTCTCAGCAATTAATACCTAATGATAATGAGGCCACCCATAGCGAGGGTGATCTTGGAGGGAGGCTAATGAGTAGAGAAATTACTTCTTCCTGGTAGCTGAAAAGGAAATGTAAGAGTGATGTGAAGGTATCTGGAAGCGTTGCGTTCCCCATGAAGTTGCAACTTATTGAAATGTCCAGCTTTGAAGCCCTCGAATTTTGCGCGGAACGAGAAACGATCCCTTGAAACTTTAAATCGATTTTCCTCACTTTCCATGCTCACTGCCCACCTACCGACTGTTACTTGGCGTCTGCGCACGCACGACCGACGTTTTAGCACTTTGAAGGGAGATAAATCATTTCGGAAGGATCCGATAAGAGATTTATTTCCGCGAATTTGCACGGAAATATGTGGCGATCCCATCCTCATATTATTCACGTTCCAATAATTTTTTCCTTCGTGAAAGCAATTGCTATCTGGGAAAGGACATGAAATTAACCTTGATACATTTGAGAAATTGTTCTTGAGGTCAAATTTCGCTATGAATGCTTGCTTCATAGTACTGTTTGCTTCAAGCTATTGAATTTTTCAGCATTTCCAGTGAATGCGATCCGAAGTGATAACCTTTCATGCGAACCAGAACTAAACATTGGCGAACTGGAACCGAATCACAACTTTCTGTCTTGTAAATGTTCGAACCCGAAATTATTTCGAAATTTTCATTATTCGAAGCGAGTGCGAACCCAATTGGAGCGAACCGAACTCCCTTAACATGGGTTCGCCCCACTTCTAATGGAAATGATTATGATAAATTACCTGTATCCATTTCAACTTTAGAGTACCAGCATGGGGAGAAGACATCGAGGATTACAGTGGGAGCAGCGAAGGAGGTGTGAGTGTGTTCTCACGCTGGCATCAACAACCCCAGGAGCCTCAATACCCACCACCGGCTCAGCCGTTGCTCCTGAAGCCCTTGATTACAAACAGTCAGCCGGAATCCTGCGCCACCCGCCTCCTGGAACCGGTTTACCACTACCCTACAATAGTCAGTGGGCATCATCAGCAGCCACCTCATCCGCCACCTTCACCAATACCTTCGAAATGGGACCTGTGCCATCTGGTGTGCTATTACATTCTTCAGTTCTTCTTGGTGTGTGGGACGATGACTGGGTTCAGTCTGGTGATTGTGGGTGCTTCGGTGCATGCAACCAGTCCGGATCTGCTAGTCCTCATGTATATTGGTGTGCTCCTCTTGTCTGTCAGCCTTTTCTTGTTAGTGATTCAGTGTCGTGCACAGCAGCAGCGTGCTAACAGGAATGACCAACACCCGCCAACATCTGAACAGCCCCAACCACCTCCATCAGCTCCTATGCGGACGCTCCCAGCTGCTGAGCCGCCTAGTTATGCATTACCATTCAATGATCGGCGGTGCGTGGAGCACATACTCTGAGGAACAAGGATAGCTTGACTTCACCACTGTGATTTGAGGGACCAGTTCATGTGTCCTGCCATTTTATTGATCCTAGCATAGATGGTTATGCTTTGTGAATCAAATTCTTTTCCTTGCAAAAGTGGTTTCATCACTTTCTGCTTGAATCTCAATTATGCATTGATGCCATGGTTCACTGTTTTTCCTTCTTGGTTCACCTGTTCAAGCAGGATGTATTATCAATGTTCTGATTCATTCAGTCACATGAAGGCAGAATTGTAGTTGTGCTCAAGACCAGTTGCTAAGTGGATTGAGTGATGGTAATTTCCATATCCCAAATGTGAGTCCATTAAATCACCCTTACCAATCTGTGAGTTGCGAGTCCAATGTCATTTTTATTTCTCTTGGCTTCCTTTTTGGTACTGACCTGAGAAGTCGCTAAATTTTTCTTTTTATTGTGAGTTGTTAATCTTGATTACCTCATGGTGGGTCATCATGACTAATGCATGTCAACTTCCAATAAAATTCATTCATGGAAGGTGTTCAAAGAAAGAGTGCTACATTCAAGAAATCACTGAAGACTTTATCATTCTAAGGTAATTCATATGGTACCAATTACACAAAATCTGCCTGAGCTCTTGACTTCTCCATCCTGCTTAGTTAGTATCAAACTTAAGATGAAGCTGATCAAGACTGTCTTGGTCAGCTTCACTCACTCTTCAATTCAGTCAGCATTCATCTTGGTGGGAACCTGCCAATGGACCCATGGTGTCATTTGAGTCTCAAATGCACCAAGAACACTCAACTTTGCTACAAAAAAGGCATTTAACAAAGAAACTGCTCAAATCCACAGAGCCAAGCCAAAAATCTTTCACAAATACTGCCTCTGAATTTTCCTGGCTTCTGCAGTGGATTGAGATTTCAGACCAAAATTGGCATTTTAATTACTTTTCCACTTTCCCTGAAGTGGCACCAACTTTGGTTACATGCAGCAACTTCTTTCAATAACCTATCCAGTTTCTATTGGTTCTGAGAATTTAATTCTCCAACTAATGGTTCCAAATACTGCTGCTTACCTTCTTTTTGTCCCTTCTTACTTTTCCAGATATATACAAACCTTGTAATAATAAAATATAACAGCCTGGAATCCCTCTTGCATTCATCTTCATGCCATCTTCAGTGTTTCAATTGAGTTCCACCTCCAATATTTGAGCTAAGTTCCTTTAAAGAAAAAGATGATGAAGAACCAACCTCACTGCTACATGCAAGCTGCTTAGGTCTCCCTACTTCCTATAAATCACTTCTCATAATTTGGGCAAGGTTCGCAAGGATGACATGACATTTCATTTCAAAAGGTTTAATAGAAAATCCAGGGTCAATTATCTAATCCAGAGAGAAATGAAATCCTGGATAAAAGAAGTCATGAAGTAGTGATGATGATCCCTACTGTCAGACTCTTTATTTGATGCAGGGATGAATGTGTGCAATCCAGACCACAATTCTAAACAGTCAGCTGAATTGAAAACACATGACTTTTCAAAGTCTCATACTTATTACACATGATTTCATCTGTTGCATAATGCACACAAAATGGTATGAAATGAAGAAGGAATGCATCTCAGTGCAGATCAAATACAGCCTTCTCTGCTATGTGAACCAAACAATAATTCACAACCAAGCGAGATTCAGAACTACCTGGTACCTATCATGAGTCAATTCGCAAAAATACACTCACGAAAGAACTCCAAGCCACAAAATACAACATATCACCTCTCAGAAAGCCACTCTCAAGAACAAGTCCAATCACATTTCATCAGAAATAAGTATAAATCTCTTGATAATCTTCCACTGAGACCAAGCTATACAACTTAGGAATGATATGATCATGATTCACTAAATCATTTTTGACATCACAAAAACTACAGGTATATCTCAAATAATGCATAAAAATTATAAAATACAATGCAAAGACAAAAAGAATTTATTTCATAAGGTGCATCAGGAACACATTAGAACAAAAAAATGCTCTAGTCAATTAAATATGAAAGCATGAATAGAATGAGGATGGGAGCCTTGAACACCCCAATTTTTTTTTCCAAGCACCTTTCTGACACAGCTGACCAGTTCTGTGCCAAAGAGCCATTTTGTAGAAATAGTTGCAACATCAATAGCAAAAAAATTCAATGCATGAGATCATGCCCATCACATGGATACAGAGACAAACATAACAGCTGTCAGCAAATTTCTGATGAAACTAGCATCCACAGCTTCTAAACAACCACCACTTCCAAGACCTTTTAGTTGCATTACAAAACCTTCAACACCTCAGATTCCTAAAGTGGAATGTTTATCTTTCTTTTGATATAGTCAACACATTCGAAGTTGAACAGCTTTGATTTTCCACAAACACTGTGATGAACTTTGTTTCTGAAATCTGATGACAACCCATTTCATAAACACCAAGCAATCAATACTTCAAAGATTGGGCCATTCAAGACTATGCACCTGTTTATTCCGAGTCAGTGCTCTGTTATGTAACTTGGGTTCAAAGTAACAGCTAGTGAATACAGACTTCATCTGGCACTACATATGCAATATGAACAATTCTGCATACAATACAAATTACTAATCTCATGCAGCAGCAACTCAGACAACATGATAGACCACTCTCATGCACAAGGCATCTAACATTCAACAAGCAATGCAACCAGAGAGAACATTAGAAATCATCTTCATAGATGACTCTGGAAAGAAGAAAGGTCCATTACAAGGATGGCATCAACTTCAACCATCATGTTGAGCTCTAAAATCAACATTAATTTTGGGCGGAATGTGGTTTTTCTTGGACGTCACATAGATAAGCTGAATGTTGTTAAATCACTAAAGAATAGCATGTATGTGTCAGTACCCATTCAATACTTTCTAAGGGTGCAGCTTTCCATAAGCAAGGAATGAATGTACGGTAAAAATAGGCTATGCATTCTCCAAGTTCATGAAAACCTTGGAAAACAATAAAATCACTGTCAATAAGGTGATCCAGGCCAAGCACCTGGGGTTTATGACAAAACCCTCTAAGAGTTTCTCAAGGAACATTTGATAACGAGTGCCCATCAGAAACAGACATGATAGGTATCCACAATTTTACTTCTGAATGTTAAGAGTTCTGCAGATATGCCTCTATAGATTTTTGTTGCTTTTCAGCTAACCCTACTCCTGGGGGGGGGGGGGGGTGATACTATGCTGGTATCCTCTTAACTAATGATGCCCCAAATAAAATGTTCAATGTCAAAAGGCAAATAAGATTAATTAAACTTTTGTTTTCAGCATAATCCATCTCAGATGGAAATCAAGGCAACCCTGATAACTTTAAGAGCAAGAAATCTAATAATGACTTACTTCTAGCTACTCCATGTGAGATAATAGGGTCAATATTTGACTTCTTTGAAGAATTGTATAATTAGTTCAATGGAAGCCAAATTCAGTCAACTGCTTCTTTTTTTATATTCCATCTTCATGAATTGTAGCATGTATGCAGCAGAAAAACTTTTTGGTAAGACACAGGAGTTATGCCAAGGATATTTTTAGAAAGAACCCAGGAACTTTAAAGAGTCAAATTTTGATAAATTTTTTTAATAGACAAAGCAGACAGGAGAAAATTTCAAAGTCTCAATCTCTGTAGGGCACAAGAAAGGATAGCTACCTCAAGAAACTCTTGAGATCATCATGCCACAAATCTCAGGCTGCAGGCATGGAAAATCTATTAGGGAATGTAATTTTTAAAGGAGTCTGGTTGAATCAGTTACACAGTAGCATATCACAACTAATGCCCATTTCATGTGCGTTCATTGGGAAAATTGCACAGTGTGCTTCATAGTTCACCGATGCTTGCGAAAGAAGATTTGAGAGAGGGTGTGAGTTCATCAAATACAGCCAAGGGAGCCAATCCCACAGAAAAATCCAAAACTGCTTGTTTCTGCTTATCTTCACTCCTAGAAGGAGAAAAAGTGAAAAAGATTTATATGCAATTCTTCAAAAGAGACTCAACATTAACCAACTGCAGTATGAATTTGGGAGGTGCACTAATAGTTAAATCTGTGAAAATTAACATTTTTGCAAGCAAATTAAGCACTGACATCTAGTGAACTCGCTTAGTAAACAATCAGTAAATTAATGAGAATCACCTACCAACCACATGTATTGAATAGAAAGTGCATTTAGAAAATACAGAACAAAATTGCATGTTCCAACAAATCAAGCAATTAACATTTCTGTCTGAACTGAAAAGGATTAATGCACAGTAAACAGCACACCTAACTCCAAATAAATTCAAGCTAAAACTGTGCTGTGAATATTTGACTCATGGGAGAAGAATCTCACAGAACTGTAGATATAGTGGTAACTATATTTTGGCAAAACATCTTAATGTTTTATTCTTCTCCTCAGCCCTAAAAACTGAGTCACCAGTTAAGGTCTTATTATTGTTAATGTACCTGGTCCATGTAGGCATCATGATCTCCACATTCTCCCTTTGTGAGTCAATCAGTGCATGAGATTTATGAGGCTAAAATTAACCCTTTCACATCTGAGTTTTTGGATTGGTCATAAGGGCAAAGAAAGAGATCCTGAGAGACTCTCAGGATTACTGCTTTAAGGGCTAAGGTAGGGTGATTTTGCTTTTAATTGATATGCTTTTCCAAAGGTGCTTCCTGTTCCTTTGGTGGATCCTCAAAGAAGAAGCGGTGAGAAGCGGTCTTAGTGTGCCAAAACACCTGGCTTAAGGCTGTAGATAATTCCATAACTTTTACTACATATCATACAGTGCCTGAAAAAAAAGAGAAAACAGAAGGGATTTTCAGACAGTGCATAAGAAATTAGTCAACATTGTAAGAGGCAACGTTTTTCATGCAAAATATCAAACCAAAAAACATGTAGTGGTAGATAAAGCATAAAGCTTTCTTTCGATAAAAGCTGCAAGGAAGTTAATATTTTCTGAACTAAGATATGGAATACAGCAAATGAAAGAAATTCCCCCCCCCCCCCCCCCAACGTCACTGAAAGACATGTTCAAGGCGTGGTCCTTCTCCAAGATGTCAGCACACCTCAAGACACTATGTGAGGCTCTCAACTGCTGACATCTGTAAACATTTGCTCTGGAATATCTCACTTGAAAATTTGTAAATTTTCAGTTTTCAACTAAGGCTTAATCTTTCTAAAATAATAAAATTCAATTCTTCAGGTGTTTAATTTTCTTGAGATCCCGTTTACTAGATGGGCAATAGTCGATGTTGCACACCACATAAGAAAGTTCAGACCTCACACAGAATGAGACTGATGAAGAATTCATGCAAGCTTATTTTTGGTTGCAAAAGTGAATCATGTGGGAATCCATACAAGTACAGTGATACCTCGCATAACGAACGCAATTCGTTCCAGCGGTGCGTTCGTTATGTGAGGTGTTCGTTATGCGAAACACGATTTCCCATAGACTTCTATGGGAAATCATGTAATCCGTTCCACGTCGCCGTGAAAAATAAAGGAAATTAGGAAAAAATGTTTCACTTTCACTCGCAAACACCTCACATAACGAACGCAGCGCTGGAACGAATTGCGTTCGTTATGCGAGATACCACTGTATATTCATGACACCCAAACTTCATATGATCATAATATTTGTTCCATGCAATTCTGGTCATGCTTTTCTTCTCCCCATGCAATTGCAGACATGACACCATAAACAAAACTACCCACGGATGAAAGAAAGAAGCAGCAAAAAATAAAGTTTTTAAATATATATATGTATCTTCATGGAATAATTTCAGATAAATAGCTGTCATATTATCACTATTGCTATGACCAAAGCATGCATAGTAGGAAAATATAGGGTGAATTCTAAATCTGGAAACATAGGTCTCACAAGGATATTTTGCTTTATATATATATATATATATATATGTGTGTATTTTTTTAAAGTTATTTATAGATGTTCATAGCATGTGAATAATACCCCAAACAATATCTGACAAAATAGGAATGCATAAGGGTATTCCTATATATGGCAAAGGTTTTTTGGGAGAAGTTACTGAAGCATCTAGCATCAAGCATCCTGATCAACAACCAATCATACACTGTGCAGTAACAGAGTTGGTTGTAAAAGTTCAGGTGTTGAAAAGTGAACAAGAGTGTACAAAATGAATTGACTATCAACATGTATGAAAAAAAAGGGAGCAGAAATGGAGTATGTGCAGCAAAGCCTACATTTCCAGACTTATGATTCACCCCATATAACAAGGTAATTGCACCAGAGTTCACACTAGCTTTTTAAAATCTTGAGTCTAGCTTCAGCTCAGTGAGAACATGTTCAGGTGGTTGTCAATGAGTCCCACAGACTTAGATGTTTTGTAAATATGAGTCCCTCTAAGAAAATAAAGTCAGGGACTCACTATAGTGAGTTAACATGAACCCTGTGCATGATATCATAGGAAAGCCAAACAATATGCAAAATAGTTTGTGACAATCAAAATGTGTGTAAATAAGAAGTTCTTTGCATTGATTATAATAATGACAGGTTTTTGAAAACACACAGCAAGGACATGCTTGGGGAGGCAAACGGGGAGGGAGAGTATCATATATGAGAGGCTGGAATTTGCTGAGCACACACAGCCAAGAGTAGTTGAATGCAACAGACTTAAGGCTTCATCCAACATTTGATTGTCAGTAAAGGCATGTTACTCATAAGCTATATGCAGCATTGTAAATGCCCCATTTAGAGTATGATGTCCAATTTATGAGGCATGCAAATAAAAAGGACTTGATGGTCATGGATAGAGTTAAGAGGTAGGCCACCATTGTGATTAGGGAAGTACGGGAACATTCATATGAACAGTGTTTAGACGCATTGGAACAATGGAGTTCAAATGAACTTCACTGCAGAGAAGATTGATGAAAGGGGATTTCACTTAAACATTTAATTTTATCACAGGCTTCCACAACATGGAGAGTGGTAGGTTTTTCAATATCATTAGTCAGCAGAATGAGAGGAGCCAGTCCAAATTAAGCATGCATTTAGTAAGACTCAAGCTACAAAATGACACTTCTATTTTCTGGAAAGTGACAGCATGGAATGAGTTAAGTGAAGACAGTGGTTGCTCCTTCTATGGATGGATAGCTACACAGAGGTTCATTGCCTCCACTGAGAAAAACAATTTGGAAAATGACATTAGCATAAGTTATCAGATGCAACTAAAGTAACCTTCTAAAGTAATAGCATTGCTAGCAGAAATTCAGGTCTGTCAAGAACAGAATGGGTCAAAACTTCACCATTACATCTGAACTATAAAACTCTTTTTTAGTTATACCATAACTACTGATCATAAAATCTATAATGCACATATATAAGCACCTTTAAAAAAATTCCCCAGAGGTCCCCCATGCTTGTCGAGTGGTATGACTCTTACTTCCCTTTACTTTCCCAAGAATCCTTGCTGCAATTATAGAAATAGGCAGATCACTGGAAAGATCCCTTCAACTTCCTCAGTATATTCAGATACAGTTAGACAAAAAAGAAAAAAAAACCTTGTAGAAATCTTGGCAAGGTGATGATTGAAAGATGGATAGGTTCATGCTGTCTATTGCTACTCAAATTATTATTTGTAATGCTGCATGTTCATGAAAATAACTTTTTAAATATTTTGAATGAAGTTACATAATTAAGATAAGATGTTAGTCAATATCTTGACCCAAAATGACACTGGATCTGATTTGATTCTAATCCTTAGCATTCATGAAGGGAACAGAAGGGTAGAAAATGCAACAATAATCACCTGGAGACAAAAGGCAATCCAACTGAAAGGCACACACAGGAAGGCTACCACAACAGTTCAGGCATTTTCAACAGGAACAGAGGACTGCAGGTCCAACTTCAAACCTGGCAAGGCGTTCCTAAAAACAGAGTTCAACATTCCATTATCACAAGAACAAGCATTCTAAGAAAAGAAATATGGACTTGGCAGGTGATGACAAGTTCTATTAGGACATCATTTAACATCAACTCTATTGTTGCTGTCAGTGACAAGGACAACTATGTCCCTGACTACCATATACAGTCTATATTGCCTACCTGCCATATGCACTCTCTTTGTATCATCCCCTCACACCTGCTTTTCAGTTCATCACCCATTTACACAAGGAACTTTGGATGTTCCTAATCTCGATAGAACTGGTATATTTGTACAGTAAAAAGGGGCCAACATTTCATAATTTTGCAGAAGGAATCACAGCTACTGAAATGCATTAGAGAATGTTCAATTGGTTGTTGGGTGACTGAATGAAAGCAAAATGAATGTGGCCACAAAGGCTGTCCATATATTTTTTTAATTTTCTTTCTCAGAATTCAAAAAGTCAAAGTGAAACATGAATTGAAACTTGCTGGCTAGCAAAGTAATACTTTAAATGATAAATTTAAGAAGTTGCAATACAAAGTTCATACCAAGCACAATAGATATTGGAAGCAGGATGGATTAGCAATTGAAGGAACAAAATCAGCTGCTGACCTGTTCTTGAGGGAACCTTCTCGAGGTACTGTCTCCTTAGTCATTTCACAGTATTCTCATTGAGACATGCCCACCCATATGATTGCCAGGTAATTGAATCTGTAGCTTTTTTCAGCAATGCTTCCATGTAGTATAATTGGCTGTTATTGCCATGAATTACATTATTAACAAAGCAAAATAAAGATGATCCTTTGTGTGCATGCTTCCAGAAATTAACTCAATATCATGTAATTAGTGATTCTGTTTCCTCCAAATATTGCAACCTTTCATATCTTTCTATCAGAAAGAATAACCACTGAGTGCCAAGCCTGAGGAATGAAAATGGTGAACACTCTCAAAAGGATAACCTAAACTAGATAACCTAAACTAGATAACCTAAACTGAGATAACCTAAACTACAAAAGCAGAATGAAGATATTGATCTCTGGTTTCCCATTGAAATATTAATGAAAGCAACAACAGGAATCCACTATCAGCATTGGTGCCCATCTCACTTCATCACACTTGAAAAACTAAGAGAAAATATGGAGTATTGGAGACTTTTTATTTAGAGCTTGAGCATCCTGCCTAAACTCATATGAGGAATTCAAAGCAGAATTCATTTGAGAACTTTGAGGCAGAAATGTAAAAGGCATCTATGCATGTATAGTGTCTAGCCCAATTGATATCATCTGTCTGTAACTATTCACCTTGTTTCTACAGGCACAAGACAAAATTAAATTTGGAATGATAAATATGAAAGAGAGACAGAAAGTCAAAAAGATATGAGACATACTCAGCAGTCCCAGTTTTCCCATGTGATTCATCCATCAGTTGCTTTTGCTCCTCTTCATCCTCCACAGCTTCATTCCTTTGGAAATTTGCAGTTGCACCCTGTTGTATCTTCACCCCTTGACTCTTCAAAATAGTCACACATCAATGATTATCCCAGTCAACTAAATACCTGATAACAATACACTACATAATTCACAATATAGGCTAAAAAATACTTCAAGAAGGGATGAATGCTCACCTGAGGAGCAAGAGCAGCTTTGCTTAACTGCTTTGAATAACGTCCATGTTTCCCAGGAAAGCACCTCCTAAGATATCCTTGCATATACAAGGCATAGGTCATCATCAAGCCACCAATGATTAGCATGGGAATTCCCACTGCAATCAGAGTCCTCTTTCCAGCTGATGATTCTCCATCTGAACGATCTGACTCATGAGTAGTAACATTCATATTTTTGTGATCACCATTCTCAGTTTCTGAAGTTTTATTTTGAGAATCATTGTGGGAATGTTTCTGAAAGTCATCAGATATACCAGTGCTGGTACTATCTTCATATCCTGCATGGGTGCCACCCACTATCACAAAGCATATTGCCAACACAGAAAGCATGAGACCACAAAAGAATATCCCTGCAGGTAAATATCTCTGTACTGCACTCCTGTGCACCTGAAAGTTTCGCAAGTACACTCTACCAACATCCTCATGGACATCATATGCCACTGTTGTGGGCTGATAGACAGGAGCACTGGGCCTGCCAGACATCTTCAACCATACACTGTGACAGTTCAATTCAAATACTTCAACTTGTACCTGTGAATCACAATGCTACTTTTTAGGGGTCCATCATTCTTATCAAAACTATCCTAAGGCCTAACATGAGGTTGGGATGCTGCCTACTCCTTAACATGCATGTCTTAGAGTCTTAACATTAGTTTTAGGCTTAAGCTCTACAATAATAAAATACTTCATCCCAAGCAACATGTCTACTTCTTAACTTCAAGGAGAGGGATTGGCAACTCCCATATTGCACTAAAATTTAACAAGTTTGTAGAACAGATCTGGAATAGCACGTAACACCAAAAAGGCAAGAGTGAGCTGTGGAGTATGTGATAAGAGGTCCAAGAGGGATTTCTTAAAGGATTTTACTGTGGGGAGAAGAGCATTCCAATTTGAAGGTCAAGGTTTGACTGGAAGAGTGGAGGCATTATCAGGAAGACCTAAATCCAGCTGGACGAACAGAAATAAAGGACTGACTTTCTATAAACAATACAGGGATCGAATGGTTATGATTAAGATTGGGGTAGAAAGTAGGTAGCAAAACTCTTAAGCATTACTACAGCCCCCACCCCCTTGCCCCATGTAATTCACTTACTCAACTTGGAAAATGTCACAGGAGCAGAAAAAGCAGGTTACCCCTTTTATGATCCACTGTTGGGGAATCCCAGACATTCGATTTTTCTCTGGTGGGTCCTATGTTGGGCTTCCCTGACACAATGTTATGCACAAGAAAAATTTTACCGTAATTATTGTAATAAAGAGACAAAAAAAACCTATGGTAAATGGTGAGAGCGCCCTGAACGGGAGCACTGAAATCGGACCTGGCTAGGGATAAATTTGTTAGGAAATACGGGTCAAAAATGTTAAGATGTGAAAAGGAGAAGTTGTGGGGTAAGGACCTTTCCTTGTATTCCAGGCGTACCGATACCGTAAGGATACCAACACAATAAGTATTTCCCCTATAACCTCATTATTAGTCCTATGTTTCATCCTAGACTAACGTTTTCTAGGTAGTTTAAGAACCAGAAGATGATGTCAGGGATGAGCAACCATTCCTGGGAGATAACCAGGAGGCGGCCATTTTTCGTGCGTATCTGTGCGGACGAGGTCAGAGGATCCTGAGGATAGTAAAGGGATCTTGAGTTTCATGTCAAATTACAGTGTTTTCGGATAGAATTTTACCTCCGTTTACACGTGCTCCGTACTTTCCTACGGATTCTGCCGTCGAGTTGCGAAGTAACAGCTCCCTCAATCAGGAGCTATTGCTCCGTGAAGTTGACTCATCGGTAAATCCCTTTGCAAATAAATGACAAATGCAATTGTCCATAATTGCGTGTCTCTCGTTAGTCGCTGAAAACAGCGCCATGGAAGGGAGATGAGTGAGAAATTGTAAATCCGAAGGAGGTTTTATTCGGCGTGCATAAAATAATTTTCAATATGGTAGCCGGAAGGGGAGGGCGGAGGAAAGAAACGGAAAGAATACTTGGCCGGAGAGAGTATAATTAAAATTATTAAATATATTAAGTATACCTAACAGCACCCCGCCGGTTGCCTCCCCTGGGACACTGACCAAAGGAGCACAGCACACAAAACAATGTCTATACTTCTTGGTGTGATAATAGAAGACGCCTATACTTCATCTCAAGGGTAAGAAGACTGGAATGCTAGAAAATGAATTGAAAACGTGGATGTGTCAGTTGAAGGGATTGAAGGGAGTCCCCTAGACTCGGTCTTCGGACTGTTTCTATTTCTGATTTACTTTAACTATTTAGATTGAAGCCTCACGAGAAAAATCCGAAAATTTACCGATGACACGAAATAGGTTTCTCCATCATGGAGAAGGGGAACAGAACTAGAGCCGAGGATATTGAGCTGTTTGAAGAGTGAAATAAAAAGTAGCTCATGAAATTCAGTTATGAAGTAAATATAAAATTATTCACATTGGTCGTATGATGATAGGCCTCTGAATGTGCTTAGCAAGGTTAGGCGAAAGGGGAGAGTGACGCTGGGGTCATCTGAAATTGGGAGCTCAAGTTCTCAAAGGGCGCATGCGATGGTAGCTGAATGTAACAGGCTTCATCCGGAATTTCAGCACGAGAGTAGGTTCAGAGGCGGGATGATAACATTCAAGATCATTCAAGAAATTGATTACGTCGAGGATACTCAAAGGTAACAGTAAACCGAAGCAGAAACCAAGTCGAGTTGGTAAGCCTCAAGCGAAACTCAGGTTGAGGAATTTCCTTACTTTTTGGACAGTGAATGGGTCGAAAGCATTGTTGACGAAATGCCTGCTTGCCCCTTCCGCGATTAGCTTTACGAAAAGGGTAAACTCCTTGGACAAAGGAAAAAAAGGAGTATACACATAAGTAACCAGTCAGTAGTTGGGTATGCTCCCACAAAATATCTGTCTTTCTAGGGTTTAGTCCTGCTTTAAATGAATGCTAGACCTTCTCGCAGGATGTTAACACGGGTAGGAAGCGCTTCTTTATGTCTTCACCCAAACCATTAACCATGAACCTTGAATTTCAATGAGAGGAGGCGTAATGCTTTGCCATCAATGAAAGAAAGCAGGTCATTAGTTTTTTTTATAGAGAAAAGAAAGTAGCATTGAATCATTTGCTCAAGGAGTCAATGATTACATGGGCGGACAGCTGGGTAATAGCGATTTGGTTTTTTTTATGGTCGAGGAGCAAGTACGGCAAATTCAAGTCCCAAAGTAAGGTTCCCATATTAAAGCTAACAGCCCCCCCCCCCCCCGTTTATCAATGAAGTCGCTGCTTGAAGCCGGTGGGATTCATTTGAAAGTGTTTGATCTTGGCTTCAACCTTAGACCATTGGACTTTGACCTTCCTCTGCGAGATACATGCTTACAGCATTGACCTTTTTTTTAAACATAGAATCAATTGTACAGTTTCGCTGAAAGAAAGTAATTCAGGTGAAGCCTTCTCCAGAGCTTTGGTGATGTGTCAATGCACACTGCGAATTGATGCGGTGAAGCCCAACTCTATACGTCTTCAAAGTTTACTGTAAATTGAAGACCACAAGAGGGTTTAGAGCGTCTTGTACACTGGAAACTGCACAGGAAGATGCAATCAATTCGGATTAAATTTTTTTCCGGTTGCACTAGGTCCATTTACGATTCAGTTTTCAGTTCTTTCTCTTTCGGAATTGCTTCTTGCTCGTTTGACCTGACTAAATGGGGTTGACGATTGGAAAGTCTTTAGGGGGATACTAGGTCGTTTTGGAGTGGTATAAAGGGAAACTGGAAATGTACTAAGTCAAAATTCGCTGTACCTTTAAATATGGACGCTGTCACTTTGGGAATGCGGGCTGCAGCATAACTTAATCCTTGCCATTTGTAGGCCAAGAGGGACCTAAGGACGTAAGTCATGGACAATGAAGCAGTCCCTTGAAGCATTTATGGAGTCTTTATGGAACAAGTTCATGATATCGTGTTCTAAACCTGAATTTACATTTTGCGCGGGAAATTGTTCGAGATTTGTGAGGCTAAATGAGCGCTCGACCTTCACTGGGAATGTGAATAAGGGCAGAAATGCCTCTTCTAGTGCCAACCCAAATCATGAAATTTGAATTCGGGAGGAAGTGCACAACAGAGAGTCGGGTTGGAGTTATTCAATAATTGTTTCATGGTGATGGAACTCTTTCTCAATAATAAAAAAGAGAAAACAATTACTAAAAAAAAAAGTTGAGAAACAGTCCCATCACCTGTCCCACTGCGACTCAAAGGTTATTTTTTAAATATAGGTCCGAATGCTGAAACCTCCGTTAGTAAACGGCCCTTTAAGAATACATGGACTCCTATAGGGGAAAAGGAGCTCTTTAGCTCAAGGGCCCCTTTATCTCCCCCTGAATGGAGTGTGAGCATTTGGGCCTTAGCCTTAATGCCTCTTCTAGTGCCAACCCAAATCATGAAATTTGAATTCGGGAGGAAGTGCACAACAGAGAGTCGGGTTGGAGTTATTCAATAATTGTTTCATGGTGATGGAACTCTTTCTCAATAATAAAAAAAAGAAAACAATTACTGAAACCTCCGTTAGTAAACGGCCCTTTAAGAATACATGGACTCCTATAGGGGAAAAGGAGCTCTTTAGCTCAAGGGCCCCTTTATCTCCCCCTGAATGGAGTGTGAGCATTTGGGCCTTAGCCTTACTGAAACCTCCGTTAGTAAACGGCCCTTTAAGAATACATGGACTCCTATAGGGGAAAAGGAGCTCTTTAGCTCAAGGGCCCCTTTATCTCCCCCTGAATGGAGTGTGAGCATTTGGGCCTTAGCCTTTAAGAGTTGAGGAGTGAATTATTCAAGAGGCTAAGGTTTGCATCCAAAGTTTTATGTTGTTCGTAGTTCCTTGAAGGCCACCATATTCCTTGCCCTTCTAGTCGAGATTTTGCTTTTGTCAGGAGCATGAACAAGAAATTATGGTGACTGATTAATGGAATCCATTCCTTTCGTAGTGCCGGTCACAGAACACTTCCCATGCTTGCAGCAATAAATACAGCTTCCTACCTTTAATCCACTCTGGTCATGTTTGGAAGTCAAAAACTCCATTACCAACGTCACAAATGCACTCAAGTCACCATTGCTGTTACAAGAAACTGAGTCTGATGCCAAGAAGCATTCAGATTTGAAGAAGGACCTTCAGCTCAACCGGGGCCAGCAGGTCTTGTCTGGAAAACAACTTCATGAATAACAAAGCAATCTCCCCACCCTCAAGCTAAAACTGGTTATTCGAAGTAGTGAGGCTTTTTATTTATTTTATTGCATTGTTTTACAAGGTTACCGGCGTTTTCGTCGCGGCCTAAATGGTCGTGGACAATTCGTCGCGGATAAAACGTCGCAAGCCCATTTCGTCGATGCACTATATCGACGCAGACCCAAATCGTCGCACTTTCCTTGTCAAGGGGGCATTTCGGGGTGGGAAGGGGACGATGTCGTATGATAACGTCTCTACCCAAGCAAGGCACTAGTGGTGCATTTTAGAACTAGTCACTTTGTATCTGTACAATGAAAAGTTAC